AGATCAGGCGACTGGTTAATTTTGCTACCTCATTTCTCTTCGAAAACTACCCCAAAACTTAGCAGTTTACAACACCATTTTATCATATCTCGCCATGTCGTGGGTCAGGAATTTGGGCAATTGGTTTGCTCCTTGTCACTTCAACTGGGGTCGTTGGTGGATTTCAGCTGGCACCGAGCTTATCTCATGGGTCCAAGACTCACATGTCTGGCACGTTGGCAGGGACAGCTGGAAGTCTGAGCTCCGCAGAGCCCATCTCCCTCTCCTGACAGTCTCAGGGCCTCTCAACATTTGTGCCCCAGCAGGCTCCGGGCTCCAGTGTGGAACCTGCCACTTCTCCCAGAGGCCAGGCCTGGAACTGGCAAAAGCATCATTCTAGCTGTAATCAATTGATCAAAGCAGTCACAGGCCAACCCAACTGAAGAGCTCAACTGGAGAAGTCTTAAAGCATTTGCAGCTCTCTTTTAATCCATCACACCTGTTTTCTCTTTAAAATTCTTCCTGCTGGTTATTTCACCTTCAAACCTCTGAATGGCAATTGGTTTGTCTATGGCATAAGAGACATAAATTACAAACAACCATTATAAAGGGTCAAGTCGGCTGTTTTAAATATGTGCAGAAGTAAAGATAGAAGTGCCATTCCACCTTATGTAAGCGGTAAAACTGAAGAAAAAATAATAAATTCTAATGCAGGCAAGGATTCTCTGATTCTCTAATGCAGGCACTCAGTAAAAACTTAAGGTAGTTGAGCTACCTTTTTATTCCTTTGATCCAGTAATCCCACCCAAGATAATTAATCCAGGAAAATCATTCAGAAAGAGAAAAAATTTATGCGTACACACATAGTTACAAGTGTGTTATTCACAACTGTGAAACACTAGAAATCATGTGAACACAGGAGAAAGATTTAAGTAAATTGTATCAAAATCTTTGTATACTGTGTAGCCATTAAATTGATAGGTGGCATTCCTATGTAGAAACATGAGAGAGTATTTTTTAATGTAAATAAAGCTAAAAATATAATTGTAAGTGATATGATTATAGTATATATTCGAACAATGCCTGTGAGAATAGAAATGGGCAAAGAATAAGAAAAAATAAAAATAGATTTTGTTCAAGTGGTATCTTTTGAGTATGTTTTATTTATTATGTTTTAAAGTTCCTTTAATAATACAATTTTTAAAATGTAATGACTGTCCCAGACCATACCCTAAAGATTCAATAAACGTGTATTAAATGCCTCTGAACTTGAGAACATGTAAAAATCTATTTATAGACACACACACAGTAGCAAACATCTTTATGTAAACAAAACATATTTATGTAAAACATAAATATACAATTTATACTTTTATTTTGGCATATCACGTGACAGGGTACGAGGTGATGTAATGGGAAAAGACTCCACTGGGATTTGGCAGCCCAGAGCCCTGGCCCAGGCTCCCCGTGGAGACCAGCGAACACGCAGGTCCTCAGGTTCCCAGCTGGAACACAAGAGGGAGAAAGATCAGCTCAAAGGTCTCTCCTTGTTTTCAAATTATTGATTCTGGGTTTCTAGAAGAATTAGCTTTTTATCTGTTGCCTAATTTAAGGCTAGATTGAAAAATAGGCAAATGCTCAGAATGTAGTATTGGCTTTAGGTTTTGGCCAATTAAGACAGACAAAAATGCATGGAAACAACAACAAAAACATATTTCATTCAACAGGTATTTATTCAGCACCTATTGTTCTAGACATTGTGACCAATATACAAAATGTCTCCCCTTACGGAGCTTATATTCTAAAGGGAGGGGCGTGCATAGACAATAAACAAAATATATAAATACAACATTCAGTTGGTCGCATGGTAGTAGATTCTATGGAGAAAAATAAACTGGGGTGAGCGAGACAATTCTGGAGGGGGAGTTGACAATTTTAAATTGTGTCTCCAAGGAATGCTTCCATGAAAAGATACAATAAAGACCTAAAGGAAGTGAGGCAGTAGCTCTCAGGATACATGTGGGCATTCCCATAGGGCTGGGAAGCCATTGGGGGGATTTGAGCAGACGGCTGCCATGACCTGACTTAACGGGCTCACTCCAGTTGCAGTGTCAAGGTAGGTTGTGGCAAAGCAAGGTGGACACAGGGAGACCTGTTAGGAAGCCGTTGCAATAATCAAAACAATATGATAACAGGTAAGATGGCGAGAAATGGTTGCATTTGGACATATCTTCAAGGAAGATGTTGCAAGATTTGCTAAAAATCGGATGTATAGTAAAAGAGTCATCTCTCAAGATTTTGGGCCCCAGATGGTAAAAACTGGAGAAAGGACAGATTTGGGAGCAAAGATGACCAGGATTCTGCTTTGGGTATACTTGAATGCCTGTTAGATGTCCTAGTGGAGCTCTCAAGTAGTCAGCTGAATATACAAGTCTAGAGTTAGAGGTTCTAGGCTAGAGTTATAAATGTAGGAATTATCAGCATATAGTTAAATGATACTTAAGCCATGAGACCAGATGAGGTCACCAAGAGAGAGAATGCAGATAGGAAAGAAGTCCAAGGACTAGGCCCTAACAGAAGTCCAGTGCTAAGAACTTAGGGAGACCGCAGGGTCCAGTCAAAGAAATGAGAAGGAGTGGCCGGTAAGTCAGAAGGAAAACCCAGAGAATGTGGTAGAAGCCAAGTGAAGAAAGCTATTCAAAGAAGAGGGATTACTTCTGGAATATCAGTTGTTGGTGGTTGAATCTATCTACACTTGCAGATTTTCTATGACAAGTGAAGATGTCATGTATACACACACACACACACACACACACACACACACACACACACACATTGACTAGATTGAAGGCTATTTATTAATATCATCACACCTAGTAAAAAGAGCATATTTGGGTATATATAATATATGCAGTATCATTATTTTCCAAGTAGAAATTGGTTTTGAAACATCTGGTATTTCTTATTTTCCATACCTTTCCCCACCTCCATCATAAAAAATGATTGTTTCTAATTCCTCTTGTGGTTGTTTTCTTCATATGTCATGGAGATGTATCGAGACCAGTGTGATTACAAATAGAAACTATTCTAATTCTCAGTAATGTGTGTTAATGAAGGAACAGACTGATTATGAATCATTTGCTAAACCAGACACTAAAAATTACTTCTGCTTATCTAAAAGTGTTGAATTTACATTGGATTATAGGCTGTATGATATTCTGGGAACTCCTGGCACATTATAAATTGAAGCTGGTCTGTGAATACATTCACCATAAGAAGCTGTTGACCATATTTTCTTGCTTAAATCACCTTCCACCGAAAATCCTGGCTAAGAAATCTGGCTTTCTTACTCTCTGGCGGAATAGGGTGTTTTATTTACATCACCTTTCCTGGGAATTGACCTGAGGAAAAGGGAGGTGGAATAGATGTAACTCAGTTGACAGCTTTAGGATAGAGACATCCCACCTCATTCCTTCTAGCTTTTACTGGACATCAGGCTGCCAGTCTAATAAGGCAACAAAAGTAAACTGAAATGAAAAGAAAAATAAACAGCAGTCTTTCTCCCATTGGAAATGACCATAAATTTTGAAAGGCAATCTTGGCTATATCATAAAAGGATTTTCTTGGTCTGTTTGCATAGCTGTATTTTATTCCATTCTGAAACAATCTGGACCTTTTCTTTTTTTAGATATTTTTATTGTACACCAATCTTACTTACCCTAAAAGTCTTTTGCAAAACATTTCTCCAGCAAATTGTGCTGTATACGTGCCATGTAGCAGTTATTGTAAAATACCCAAATCTATGAGTTCTGATCTACAGGCAATTCCGGTGAAGAATTAGGCTATATAATTCTCAGAGTTGGATTTTCACAGATGGACCGTGCAGATATGCTGAGATAGTCCACTAAATACAGGGGATGGGGGCTCATCCCGGTGGATATGGGCGGCTTGTATATTCCTTTGGCTTTATTGATTTATCTTCCACATTAAGTTGTATGTCCTACAAACCCACGTGCACCTGTCTCCAGTGCTTTAGTCTGTTTTACAGCCTTCTTCTGGCACTATCTAATAAAAGCTATAAAAAGAAAATATTTCCTTTCCATTACAACAGCAACAAAAATTTCAAGAATGAGGGCACAAAAATACCATACCACGTCACAGGTCTCTTCTTAACAGTAAGACTAAAAGCAGTTGGCATCAGACCATCACATCAGGTTAAAGAGCATAGAGTTTCTAAACCAAACCTTCTTTAGACCTAACATTTAAATTTGATCATTATCATAAAAATATTAAAGTAAAAAATAAGGTAAGCATAATTTTTATTACCAGTTTTTTGATTGACATAATTGTTCAGATATATTTATATCCTATATTCCGTATGATCTATTCTTTTCTTAGACTGTGAACCCTAAAGATTAGGAACCAAAGTATCTTTAACTAAGTTTTTTCTCCTCTAGCACAGGACCATAATGGGAGACATTTACCAGAAATGTCATTTATTTACTAAAATGGCCACCTGGTACAAGCCCACAGTGATCATATTTTGAGGGTAGAAGGAAGGAAACAATGGAATATTTATGGTCACTATTCACTCAAGAGTATCTAGGCCCACTTTGTATAATATTTCAAGTTTTCTGTCTTAATATCTAAAGAGGAATAAAATATTACTATTGTAAGTACTGGCAGCTTTCACTGCCACTCCCTTCATCCAACTTTTCCCCCAGCTTATAAAACATAGGCGCACCTGTCTGTTGTGGCTACATTCTAAACCCTCTTGAGATTTTACTGAAGCCCAAAGAAAGACCTCAGATTCCAGCTTGCGAGGCGCTTGATTTCCAAATGGGTGGAATTCTTCATTGCCCCACTGTGTTTTTAATGCAAGACTCACAGAAAATTCCTAAAAAGCTAATAGTCAATCACTGGCCAAGAGGAGGAGCTTCCCAGAATTTATAATTTTTGTTTAATTGAAATCAATTTAAAATTTCCAGACAACTTGGTACCATTATCCCTTTTCTTTTCAGGTACAGAGCAGTTGCCTCCTGGAGTCGTGTTCAGGGAATCGGGATTCCCTTGGTTACTGCCATTGAAATTGTCTCCATCTGGATCATTTCCTTCATCCTGGCCATCCCTGAAGCGATCGGCTTCGTCATGGTGCCCTTTGAATACAGGGGTGAACAGCACAATACCTGTATGCTCAATGCCACATCAAAATTCATGGAGGTACTAATGGTTTAAAAGGAATTACCTGGGAGAGGAGGAGGAGGTCTTCAGCTATACTTCATCATCTTAAGACTTGTTAACATCTCCACAATGACAAGTGTGGTTCACTCTGTCAAATAGTCTTCAGCTGCATCAAAAGTAGATGTTAAACCAGCGTCTGGCTTCGTGAATAGGACAACTATTTTGCTTTTCACTCTCGTAGCACAACTCTAGACCTCTAGACACAATTGTTCTGCACCAAACAACTAAGAATTCTGAAGCAAATTTACTAAGAGGGACTACATGTGTATATTTATATTAATAATGCTATTTTTTTATAATAAGGAATACAGCATAACAATCTCCATCTGACAGACATGCTGATGTTTATTTTATGTCACTTAGGAAGATGCACGTTACTCAGACATTTTTTAACGATCGATTTAGTAATTCAAAGTAGGGAATAGTACTTACATATGATTATAATAGTATAGATTCTCTGTCTAATATGCAAATAAGATAAAATTGCAGAACTTTTTAAAAGAATGTTTTGGTTTAACAAGTTCAGTTATTGTTTTTTTTACTACACATGACCACATTAGTATTTCTCTGAAAAGCTTAATCATATAACTGAGTGTTTTGGGAAATCTGTTTAAAATGCATCTTTCCTTGGCAAAACTAGTTACATATGGACTAAGGAAGAAAACCAAAAGGATAACTATTTCTCTGAAATCAGCATAATTTAGTGCTTTGATGTACGTTTCATGCAGTTCAGATTCCACATGTAATTGTTCACAGACATCTCAAGGTATGTTTTCCTAACTTGGAAAATTCACAAAATTACTGGTTTTATGGTTGAGCAGTTATTCTGCTTGGAAATTCTCCTTTTTAAATTAAAAGTGCTCATGAAAACTGCCAAACTGGCAACTTAACATCGAGGTCTTCTGTTTATCGACTGACATTTTTATGAGGTAAATCTCCACAATGAAAAACAAAGTAGACAGTAGGATATTATCAGAATTTGGGCAGTGTGAATAAGCAATCTAGATATTCCAGATGGAAATGTTAGAGAAAAAAAGGTCAATATAAGAAGGATCTTACTAATCATTAGAAATGGACAGAATGAAATGGATTATTTCATAATGACTGAGCCTATTTTATAGAAGTGTTAAAGTAAAGTAAAGATACCCTTTAGGCTCGGGTGGCCTAGAGAGTCGTGGTAAAGGATATCAGTTGTTGATCTGATAATTTTTCAGAGTTCATTTCAAGTCTAAAGTCCTGTTCTTTTTTCCTAAATTTATTTCCCGTTTTTTCCACTCTTGCTCCTCAACTTTGCCCTACCCTGGACTGACAGGAGGCCCCTCCCTACCCTTGCTAATGACATCAGTTCAAAAGAGAGGCATGAATGACCCTTTCTCTGCAGGCCTCCACCACGGAGGGGTCAGCTTCCAGACCCTCTGCAGCTGCTTCTGGGCCATTCACACCCAGCCAGCAATGCACCAGGAAGAGGAGAGTACAAAAGAAGGGAGGGTGGGTGCTCAAAGGAGTGTTTGTGCCACACTTTAAAAAAGAGAGAGAGAGAGAGAGAGAAGGAGAGAGTCCTCCTGATTTTTTTTTTAAGTTCAGAACTGAAATCTTTCTGTAATACCATGTCATAGGGATAGAGAAATGTTTGTGTCTGCAGATTAGAATAAACCAACTCCTTTGGGAGTTTGCACATAACCTGAGGATAGAATTCAGGGGTCTGTGAACTTGGATGGGAAAAAAATGACATGTTTATTTTCACTAACTTCTAATTAAATTTATCATTTCCTTCGATTATGAATGTTGCCAACAAACCACAACAGTATTTAACAGTACCATGACTTCTTCACTAATAGAAATAGTAGACCTTTTCATACCAAGTAACACTTGTATAATCTTGAAATATCATTTATGCTCGTCACTACTTCAACATCCTGGTAGTTATTAGAACCACCATTAGGTTTATTTGTTAATAAACACCTCTATTACTATATCAGAATTTTATTTTTAATATTTTGATCACCATGTTTCAGTGTAATTGGTTTGCACTGCAATCTTATGTAGTTTATTTTATGCATGCAAAAGTTTCATTTTCAGAAGGGATTATCGTTTTCACCAGACTTCCAAAGGCGTCAATGGCATAAAAATAGTTAAGAACTCCTGCCCCAAACTTTTTTGTTTTCAGGAACCATTTTTAGATGATTTTAAAGACATAAATGTAACCCACTTGGCCTCTTTCTATATTCAGAAATTGTCCAGTTTTTCACAGCACAGCATGATTATTTTTTACTGTGGGAACTGAGATAGTACAGGAGGCTGCATTGTCCTTAGTAAATAAACAATCTGGAGAAACATTATAAGAAAAGAAAAAGCATTGCTTCCCAAGCTGGTGATGATCGAGTGGGAAGAAGAATTTAGATATCATTTTCCAACTTTCATTTTTATAGGATATTAAGCTTTCTCCTTTAAAAAGACATAAAACTGAATAATCTTGGTATTTACAAATCCTGCCCACAGGGAGATAATGCTAAATATGCCTTCAGATAAGGTATGCTGCCTCAGTAGTTTCCAGGTGGTAAGTATTAAAAGAGGGAGAACGAGTATAGTTATTGATGGCTCAAACTGGCTGGCTTTGAGGTCACATAGCAGACATACCAGGCAAAGGGTTAACCCCCATTAACCAAAGCTACACAGATAAGCCATTCATAACCTTCGCTGTTCCCCAGCAAGATGTTCACGTTAAGTAACCTTTAACCACAATAGTCAAAAGAAAACCAGACACAATAAAATTTGAGGCTCGTAAGTAAATAAAGATAAACATATATATCCTTCATGTCTCAAAATCATGTTTTATGAGCTTTGGAAGGAAATTATTTTTATTGATTAGGGCTCTTCTGTGGTATCACTGAAACCAACTTCAGTTTATGAAAAGTATCCTGGTCAGGATAATTTTTTTAAACACAGTTTCTTTATGTGCTATTATAAAGCCAGGATAATTTCTGGAGTTTCAAATTTAATTGAGTTTTAAGCACCACCCCAAACCCATGACTGCAACCAAAGAGCATGAATTTACAAACGTATCTGCAAGTCTAAAGATTTTGAAGCTACCAGAGGCACTACACAGTTAATATATCTTCTTATTCCCCTCCTTTTCCCTCTCTTTTCTTCACTTTACAGTACTACCAAAATGGAAAGGACTGGTGGCTCTTTGGGTTCTATTTCTGCATGCCCTTGGTGTGCACCGCAATCTTCTACACCCTCATGACTTGTGAGATGCTGAACAGAAGGAACGGCAGCTTGAGAATTGCCCTCAGTGAACATCTTAAACAGGTAAATCCCATAGTCACGCAAATCTGGCCAGGACTGGTTACTCCTTGACAACAACAGGACTACAATACTGTCATAGCAGAATTGGCCTCGTTTCCTAAAAATAAAAGTACTGTCTTATAACTGTTTCCTTTATAGTTATAGTATCAGAAATTTCTTTTGTGAAATGAGGAGCCTGCCTGAGAAACAGGTGGTCCTGGAGGTTGAGCCCAAACAGAGAGGAACTATTCCTTTATTTTGCCAAGAGCATGTGTGTATGTGGGTCCATACATTGAACTGGGCTTGGAACTGTTTCAGGACAAAAAGAAGCATATGAGTTTCTTCCTGGGAAGGCTTTACAGTCTTGTTGAACCAAAACACAAACCATGAAACAACTGGAAGATAGAATCACAGGTACGGTGAAAGTAGCCTGTGCTAGAGAAAGCCAGGCAGGATATGTGACAGAGTCATGGAGAAACTGTTCATGGATGAGGGGGATTGGACTGGGCCTTGGAGGATAAATGGGATTTGATGGGGAAGAAAAGGACAGAGGGCGTTTCAGGGGCAACAGCAGGACTCCAGTTAGAACGTGGAATGGACACCATGCATTTAGTGAGTGGGACAAAGGAGATGAACCTCATTAGAGCAATGGATAAGGTAAGACTCATGCCAGGCCATGGGATCACGTACATTAGAAGAGGTAAAATGTTGGAGGAGCCAAAGTTCTAGAAGAAACTTGAACATATTTATAGAAGGCAACTGTTTACCCTCCTGGGCAGAAATAGAACAGATAAAGCTGTGTGGGTTTTAGAGGACAAAACTTGACTCTTCTACTTGTTGGCTCTGTGACTTTGGGCAAAGTTCTTAATCTCTCTGAACTTTTACTTTCTCATAAAATGTATGTAATAATACATCAAGGAGATTACCTACAGCATGTAAGGTGCCTAATGGTACCCAGCTGCTAGTAGGTGCTCAGCAAATGTTAATTTATATTAATTCTAGGAGTAAAACTGGGACTGCAGGTAAGTTCTTAGTCACAGCAGAGAAGTATGTAAGGATGTCCAACCACACCAGAAGTTAATGCGAGTTGTTGATGGAGTCTGTAAGTCTGCCCTATATAATTAGCATGTGTAAGCATCATTCCTCATCATAACTCTTTTCAACTACTGTACTCATTTTTCTGAGCTTCAGCTCTTCATCTGCAAATTACACGTAATAATATATGCATCAATGTTATTATGAGAATCAAAGGAATTAATGTGCATGCTTGTACTTTTAAAATCTAACATGCCATACAAATGGTAGCTATTATCTTTTATTGACATTTAGCAGGAAAATTACATTCAGAAACTTTAGTATGACTTTGGATATGAATGCTTCAAATACTCCAGATGTCAACATATTAAGCAACTATTACCTCTCATTCTTGCAATGGAGGTAATTAGTTAGAATAGATTTGCAAAAAACAATGTTTTAAAATATAGATTTTTGCATTAGCACTATGATTGAGCCTGTTTAAGCTATGAGTGCTGCCTGCCGTGAAAATAAATAAATAGGGATTGGGAACGATAATAATATGCTGCTTCACATTTACGTAGCATTTTTTAAGTTTGTAAAGAGCACTTGCTTTTCTTTTTCTTATTTGATTCCAACAAGCACCCTGTGAGATAGGTAGGACAGATATTATCCTTAATGTACAGGTGGTTAAGAGATTTGCTCAACCAAACAGAGATTAGAACCCAAGATTTGGTACCCATGCAGGAGACGTTCCCTTCGGTCACACTCAAAGCTGTAGCAGGTGCTAGCAGTAGAAGAGCAAGGCTGGCTGGAGTCCTTCACCTGGGACCGTGGGGGAGCTACCATAGAGCAGAGAGCTTTGCCACCTCTGGCTAATATCCTGTGGGGCTCATGGTCTTGCTTCTTGCTCGGTTGTCTGTGATTTCTCTTCGTTATAATGGCAACAAGGGAATTATGTTTGGATGCTGGTAACGGAAAACCCAAAATAACAGTGAGTCGACCAAGGAAGGGCTTGATCTTTCTCCCACAGCAAAAAGTTCAGGTGCCGCTGGTTCTGTGGCCAAGGAACTTAGAGGCCAGGAGTCTGCTGTCGGGCTTGTCTTTCCTTCAGTCTTGGAAGACAGCAGCAGCAGCAGCTCTACTTTTCTATCTGATTTCCAGGCAGCAAGAGGGGAAGAACAAAGAACACGTTAGTGTGTGTGCACTAAAGAGCATCCTCCCACTTTTAAGTAGCTTTTCCAGAAACCCACACAATAGTTTCTACTTCCTCTAACTGGTCAGAACTGGGCCAGGTGGCCGTGTAGATGATTTAGGCCAAGCCTTCTGCTGCCATAACAAAAGCACGCATCTAAGTGATAGAAAAGAAGACAGGAGAATTTGCTTAAGCAAGTATCAACTTTCATGGCACTATATTAATACTACCTTTTAAAAGGGTTATCCTCTTTGAGTATATGCTCAGGGCAGGTAACTTCTCCCCCAATACACCCCTTTTCTATTTTTCTGCGCACACTGTTTTTCTGTGTACACAAAATGACCCTTTAAAAAGATCTCCCATTCCTGCAGATTAAAATCCTTTATTTCTTCCCTCAATCACTACCCTGAAGCTATAGCCAAGCTAGCTCAATAACTATGAAAGATTAGAGAACTCCCAATTCTTTGGGCTACTGTAGCAATTTATGACAGCTGCCCCAGAATCTTTTGGAATGGCTCAAATCAAGTGAGTTTACTGTTGGCTTCCCAGACGTAATGTTATATGCTTCAGGTTGAACCAGCATTACACTTCCAAACCCTGGTTTCAATCAGTTTTATTTTGACATTAACTGATTCCAGTTACAGAAATGTTACATTTTATGTTCCTAGTTAGGCTTCTAAATATATGCAGTATAATACTCGAGCATAATGCACACAAATGAGTGGTTGCAGATAATTCCCGACCTATGGTTTTTCTGATCCTGAGCAGACCCAAAGACATGTAAACTTTCAATGGAAGTCAGTCCAGGGTCAGCACGTTCCAGATTTTCCAGCCATCACTGCTGATAATCCTTTACCTTCATCCTTCTGTTTGCAAACAATGTATCTTTGGAAACTACATGTCATTAATAAAAGAATTTAAAAAGCAAAAATAGCCCAATGCTAGCTGTCTTCAAGACCAAGGAAAGGAGGAAACATGTTGCTCTTGTTTTTTCTTGTCTGTTCCCTACTCCTAGCTTGTTTTCCAAAGGTCTTTGTGGATTTCTCCATTCATTACCATGTTGTGTTCAGTCACCTTGCCTGCCATGCCATCATTAATGCTAGTTAGTTACCTGTTATTAAGCTTTTAGCTGATCTTTCCCCCCCGACCCCCAGTCACACACCACCCACCTACACACACACACACACACACACATACACATGTGCGCGCGCGCGGACTCGGTGCAGTGCTGCCTCACCTCCAGCCAGTTCCCACCTCTCTTCTGGCATATAAACTTTGTCCTGCACTAAAAACCCCAACTTAAGCATTGTAAAAGGTATCCATGTAACAAAAACATTTGTCCCCTTTAATATTTTGAAATTTAAAAAAAAAAAAAACAACTTTGTCCTGGCCCTAGTAACCAACCTGAGGCCACCATCCTTCCTGGCAGCTGCCCAAAAGCATCATTAGCAACTCCTCGATTACAAAGCTGGACTCGGAATCTTTGAGAGGTGGAGTCACTCTAAGGCAGTCCCTTCTCCTGGCTCTTCTTTGAGTTATTTTTCCCTGTGCTATCTTCTACCTCCTTGTGCAGTTCTTCCATCTAGTACAAAAACACTAAACTTACTGTACTTTTTTTTTCTCACTTTCCTTTAGCGTCGAGAAGTGGCAAAAACAGTTTTCTGCTTGGTTGTAATTTTTGCTCTTTGCTGGTTCCCTCTTCATTTAAGCCGTATTTTGAAGAAAACCGTGTATGATGAGATGGACAAGAACCGATGTGAATTACTTAGGTACGATCCTATGTACTCGTTAGGAAATTGGAGTTTCCCTTTCACATTCATAACACATTTACAAAACCATCGAGTCTACATTCTCACTAGCCCTGAAGATTAAAATCACAAAGTCGATTATTTTTAGCTGACATGGCACATAACTAATCCCCAAATGTATGCAAGCCGCATCTGTAATCTTGCCACTCCCCTCCTGAGGCTGTGCACAGGTTTTGAGCGAACCAAGCGGTTGATAACATCTATAACCGTCCTGCAAAATTGAAACTGCCATTCAGACGAGCACTTTTTACAAAATTCTAACTGCCACACATAAGAAATGGCTTCTGGGCAAGAAAAATGCTTATTCTAAGGATAAATGCTAGTTAGCAGATTTTTAAAACAATATGTTCTAATTATTCTACACTCTTTTCTTTTGCTCTAGTTTCCTGCTGCTCATGGACTACATCGGTATTAATTTGGCAACCATGAATTCATGTATAAACCCAATAGCTCTGTATTTTGTGAGCAAGAAATTTAAAAATTGTTTCCAGGTAAGATGATTTTGCAAGCATTTTTAAAAGACAACCAAATGAGTATATTAAGTGGACAACAGACAGAGCCAATTCCAGTTGTAACTTACTTTGATAAGCTGTGTTCCTTTTTAGTAAAAAAGTTGAAAATCGTATTTCATTACCCAGAAGAGGGTCAGATTGTCAGCATTACAGAAAAGCAGTATCTATTCAGACAATGACATATGCAGAGGTTAAAATTAAAAAGACTAACTTAATTACATGTCAGTTTAGAACCCTCCTTTTAAAAGAAATGCTCAAACATGAGCTCCAGGCCACACAGAGTACATAAAACCTATTCACACCTCACATTGCCTTAGACTTTAATTGCAGTCTCAGTGAAATGTAAACTCTGTTACTAAGAAAGCTCTCACTAAATGCTTCTTAACAGTATACTTAGTAATAGTCTCTTCAAGGAAAGTAAATGCTTGTTGCTCTGGGAATCTGAACTAAGATAATTTCATGCAAAATCAGTTTCCTTCTGTTTTTAAACTTCTGCCAGCTAAGCCACTCTTGTGGCCTAAGCACGTCTTAATGATGTGCCATTTTTCCAGGCCCTGGAATGACTTTAGCATAGACAATCCTAACTGGATTTTATTGCCTTTGACCAGGCTGTTTAACTTTAGCTCAGGGTACATAGGAGGCAGAGTAGGGGAGAGGCCGAGGGTGCAGGCTGTGGAAGCAAACAACCTCCACTGACACCACAGCTCTGCACCTACTACCTGTCTAACCCAGGTCCACCTAGTGCGCCCCCTGCTGCCTCAGTTTCCTCATCTGTAAAATTGGATGATCACAGTATCATTCATAAGGAGCGTTCGATGGGTTAATATGTATAAAACTCCTGAAAAAATAAATGCTCAATATGACTTGCTTATAATTAGGGACAGAATGGAGAGGAAAAACACAGTGACTTCCCTCATGGAACTTGCAATCTAAAAGGAGACAGACACATATTCACTGAAGAATCCTATAAATAGACGAAGCTTGGTATGGACATTTTTGCTGCCATATTTTTGAGGTCCCCTTGAAGATGTTTACCAGTCACAAACGTTCTGCCCAAAACGCGTTGACTAACATGCAGGTTATAACTAATACATGATAGAAGCTCAAGTTAATATCACTTGCTAATTAATTTACATATTCACTGGGGGAGGGAAAATCGAGGTACAAATTATCAGAAATTAAACACATTTTTTTCTTAAAAAGGCAACATACCCAAGGGAAAGAGTGTCCTGGGTTCTAATTCCAAATCTGCCTCTTAGTAACTTCTCTGGGGCTCGCTGTCCTTATTCATAAAAGGGGGGAGCTAGCACCTTGCATACAAGGTGGTTGCGAGGATCATACAAGCTACCCGATGCACAGAACCCTGCCCCACCCACGCCCTGGCCCAGGCCATGGAGAACCCTCCCTCCAGCCAGCACTGCTGTCCCTTCCTCTTGCACTTGATGAATGGAATTAAAATGAGAAACAAGGTACCTGTTTCTCTGCACTGGAATGGACAGTTTAACACCTGCCTAGAGATGAGAGGCCCCCCCACGCTAGAGTCCTGCTCAGGCTCACTTTCTTCAAGTGTATGCGGATATTTACCTCGTCTTAGTGGCTGGGAAGGGGCTGGTGGGCTCATGTTATTTCGAGTCTGTTTCTTCTCCCAGTCGTGCCTCTGCTGCTGCTGTTACCAGTCCAAAAGTCTGATGACCTCCGTCCCCATGAACGGAACAAGCATCCAGTGGAAAAACCACGACCAAAACAACCACAACACAGAGAGGAGCAGCCACAAGGACAGCATTAACTAACCATTCTAAGAAACATTCGTCAATATTCTTTTAAATCCTATGGGAGGAAAAAAAAAAATCACACAGCAACTGTCTCCAGAAATCTCTTCTCCGATCCGTCTTCCTTAACTCGGTAGAGAAGCAATGCTTTTCCAAAACAGCAGAAGGGGGACGGTGTATACCCAGAAAGTCTACAAATCTTACTTCTTTAATTTATCCAGTTTTCATATTCTGCATGTTATATTCAGCACTAAAAAATGGTGGGAGCTGGAGGAGAATGGTGACTGCTAAATTCATCCAGAAGGATATTTAGTGCACTTACATGGAAATAGAGTTTTCAAGTACATGACTAGCTTTTATGGCAGTTCTGTCAAATGTTCAATGAGAATTGGTCACCAAAAAACTTTAGAGACTATGACAAGATTTTCTATTTTTTAAGTGATTTTTTTTTTTTAGCCAAATACAATATGGGCTTAAGTCAGTTTTATTTGAAATACCATTCAGTGCCAGTATTTTTTAACTGCATAATAGCCTAAAAATGATTATTTGAGCTTATTTACACATATTTTACAAAACAAAAAAGAAAAGAAAAAGCATTATTCAGGTGAGTGATTAGGTGAATGTTTCTTATGTCACTGTTTTATTTTTAAAACCTGAATTCTAAAGCTGCAACAAATACAGTCCCTTAAAAGACAGACTGATATCCACATTTAACAGCTATTATTCAAAGAATTTTTAAGAACCTGTATTTTCTTTTTTAATGGTGTTTTTGTGACAGGAGATCTTGAACATATTTTTTATGTTAAATTCAAAAATGATGCTTGGATCAAATAGTTCTTTTCCAGAAGCTCAATCTTTTTGTAATGTAAGTTTTTATGTAAACTAAGTATCATGTACCAAAACTTAAAGAAATGTGTCATTTAACTATGCCTGAGACTTTCAGTGCAATGTACAGAAGTCTAAAGCACACCTAGGAGAAAAAGATTGAATATTTTTAGAAGATTTGGAAATTTTCATTGAGTTTTTTTGTAATAGTAACATGTATGTACATACCTATATACATTATACATATCACCTCCTATTCTCTTAATTTTCCCTAAAATGTTAACTGGCAGTAAGACTTTTCCATATAAGAAACATAATTTCAAAGTGATGAGCTTATCTTCTCAGTGAAATATAGTGACCCCTAAATGTCAACATGAACCTGTGATTCTTCACTCCTCTGGGTTTTTACTATGAACCTAAATCCCCACCCCACCCCTCACCTCTCACATGGTCATCATTTCAAAAGGCCCACAATGACCTTTGCTGAGCATTTTCCCAGATGTTTACAGACTGTGAGTACAGCAGAAAATCGTTGACTGGTGTCTGTGTGTGTGTATGCGTGTGTGTGTGTGTGTGTGTGTGTGTGTGTATACACAACTGTAAATTTCTTTTAGCCAATTTTTCTGTGATTGTCCCTGTGGAATATATTTGTGTGTGTGTGATGTACGCATGTATGTGATGGTATGTATGGATTTAATCTAATCTAATAATAATGCCCTGTAGTTGTACCAAAGCATATACTCTGAGTGGAATTTAGACGCTTGTTCATCATGACAACTCACCTCAGTTTCAACCTATGAGAAGCTTCTGTATTCATAAATCTTGTGACCATGTTACCATCACAAATGAGATGTGGGAGGCAACGTGAAAGGGGATGAGCCATGGGTTAACGAGACAAGGTTTTGTTTGGTTGGTTGGTTTGATAAAGCAGTATTTGGGATCATATTATTTCCTGTGCTGGAACAAAAGTCATTATACCTTGAAGTATCACATTGTCCTAAAACACAGTGTGGAGATGCAACTGACAAGTTGGCTGATGTTTCTATCAGACTTCACCAGACAGATTGCCGATGATAAATGAGCTAAGCTCATTTGTTGGGCCATATTTTAGCACAGTCACAGGTAAAATAATATCAGGTTCCTCTTGCTTGAATTGCAGGGCTAAGAAATATTATTCCTTTGTGTGTTAGCAGTCAAATTCTATTATTCCACTGGTGCCTCATATGCAGTGATATATGCCTATAATATAAGCCATAAGTTCACACCATTTTGTTTAGACAATTGTCTTTTTGTTAATATGCTTTGTTTCTTTCATATGAAAAGATGCATTTTATAAATTCAGAAAGTCACAGATTTCTGAAGGCTTCAATGTGTATTTTGTTTATGGACTGGTAAGTAACTGTGGCATACTAGTAGGAATGTTTCCAATTCCTACATTTACCACATCTTTCCAACAAGTAACTTTGTAGAAATGAGCCAGAAGCCAAGGCCCTGAGTTGGCAGTGGCCCATATGTATAAAATAAAAGTTTACAGAAGCCTTGTAAGTGTCTCTTCATTTTTATAGAGTTCTTCATAGAAAATATTTGTTACAGAATGCCTGTTGCAAACCTCTCCTTAATAACATCCAGGCAAGCAAGTTTATGTCCAAATGGATACTTCCTAACTGTACTCTATCATCAATCAAATTACGCTGTCGTACTGAGCACTTAACTCTCTCACTGATTCCTTCATTCATCTTTCCAGTAAACTTTATTGAGCATCTACTATGCACCAGGCATTCTTCTAGATATTGAGGACATAGCAGTGAACAAAACAGGCAAAGTCCCAGATCTCATGCCACTTGCATTCTAGTTGGGCAACAAACAATTACAGTCAATAAACAATATGTCAGGTGGGTACCTGCAGGAAAAGACTCACAGATATCTGACTGCTTATTTGACATCTCCAATTGGATAGCTGATAGACCACAATACATCCAACATAAAGGTCCTGTATCTTCTAGCCTATGCTGCCATAATATTCCTCTGCTTAGTTAAAGACAGCTCCATCCTCTGAGTTGTTCAGGACAAAAACTTTGAAATCACTTTTCATTCCTTTCTCTCACACCTTACACACAACATCCCAATAAGTCCTGAGGGCCCTGTCTTCAGAATATATCCAGAAGCTGTCCGCATCACTGTCTCTAACTCTCCCTCCCTAGTCTGAGCACCATCATCTCCTGCCAGGATAACTGCAACAGACTCCTGCCATGCCTACTTGTTTCTAGCCTTGGAAACAGCCATACTCTAATTGGATCTTGTATCCCAGCTCTCATAAGGGGTTAGTTTAGGCTCACTGACCCACATCCTCACTGTGGCAGGGCTGGGAGTTTGGGAGCCTTGGAGTGGCTGGCCACCATAGTTTAAGCATTATGAAGAAAGTCAATCTAGAGTGTCACAAAGATGAAAAAGAGCATTTAAGTTCCCAATTGCAGTTTTCCTTGATGTTTTCCCATGGCTTGAGTAAGCAAACCAACACATTTACCTTTTTGCCTATGCTGGTTTTTCTGTTGCTTACAATACACACTTTCTAAGACCATCTCAT